CATGTCATAAAACTCTTTTTTATTATTATTGATGGATTAGGAACTTCCCTGTTTTATTTTCTTAAAAGATAGATAGATACTTTATTGATTCGTGAGGGACATTGCAGTGCAACAGCAGCTTAACACAGCAACAGTGTAACGAATGATACAATAATAATAATACAATACATACAATACAATCAGTACAGTGAGAAGTGTAACAGACTATATGTGACTTTACAATTATATGCCTTAATTTAAAATTACAGTCTAAAAAGTGTCTTTAAAAAAATGCATAGAAAATATGACATGCTTCCACCTTCCACAGAGACTTTTCCTCTCTACTACTAAACGCCCAACTTACATTGATAGTTTCTTCGTTGTGAGAAAGCAGGTTGCTGAGCCTCTCTAGGTCTCTTTCCTTTTCGCGCAGAGACAGGTGGAGCTGACGGACCTCATTGTCTTTTTCATCTATGGCAGCAAATTTCTCATCTATAGCTTCCTAGAAAAAAAAAAGAAAACACGAACTAAAAAAGGTTATCCATAAAATATCTTATACAGATATTAACAACACTGTTCTTCAGAAAACAGTGGCCTCCAAAGCAGTCTTTCAAGATCAGCTTGCTGCGTTTTCCACTCTTCTGTTAAACAACTGAATTAGTTCTCCATTCCATGTAGAGGAGTAACAACAGAAGGATAAAGAAGGCAGCGATATGCTACACTGTTCTTGCAAAATGTACATGTTTAAAAGAAAGCATCCAGTGATCCTTATCACTGCTGATGTATAAAAATAATAATAATAATAATAATAATAATAATAATAATAGCTTACACTTATATAGCGCTTTTCTGGACACTTCACTCAAAGCACTTTACAGGTAATGGGGAATCCCACTACCACCACCAATGTGCAGCCCCCACCTGGATGTATTATAAAACCAATTAAATTATTTTCTCCCTTAATTACAAAAGATTCTGTGAAAACATAAAAAGAAACAAGACGTCAGATTTGCAAGAAAGTATTATTCAATAAAGATGCAACATTTCTGTTCTTACGAAACTAGTATTTCTTATGACACCAGATGGTAACTGAAAATTTGTTTGATAAGCTCAAAGGTGGAATAAACGAATCATGATATATGGTTAAGTAGAAGCAAGAGATTTCGTGGAGTGCTGATCTCTCCAGGAAGAAACAGCAAATTATCAACAACATTCCTGTACAGCCTCTCTTCTTTGATCTTTTAAAAGTGTAATAGGTTCACAATGACCACTAACTGTAACCAAAGCTTCACTTTTATTTAAAAAAAGTCAAATAAAAAATAATACATATTTAACTCTGAACTATTAACATATACACTGAGGTTGAAATATTTCAAAATTGTTCCAAACAATTGACAACAGAAACTAACAATAAAAAATAAGTCATTTTTTTGCTGATACCTAGACAGTTATAAAGCTGCTTCATATATTCCAATGTTAAATGTTAACACATTTTAAGTGGTCTTGTTGAAATACATTCCTAGAGATTTCAGATTATGCCACCAGGGAAGTAGAACATCTGTCTTTGCCATGGAAGAACTTCAGAAGCACTATTCAGTTTATAAGACAAGCTAGTTGCAGGCCAACATACAGTAACACATTTGACAGCTCTGTAAACATTTGTAACTCTGTAACAGAATAACAGACATAAGAGATGACAGCGCATAAGGCAATAGTTTACATTGCACGCTCTGTTGGCAAACTTTGCAAGGCCTAGGAATATCATGTGCTTATCTGCTAACGTTTTGTAACATGCATGGAATACATGAAGAAAGTACCTGAAAATTACTTTACGTTTGTGAGCTTATTCTGAGCTGAGCAGGGGCAGCTGTTTCAAATCTGTGGATTGCACTTTTGTTTCTGGGATGGGTTTAGAGATTCACAACAGACGTTAGGATTAGGGTTGAAAGACGAGGAACACAATTCTGTTAAGGCACAAACTATGTTGTAATCAACGTTATAATAAAATAAAATACAACATTCTTTTGGGATATCTTCAGTTCATATGTCTGGCCTCAGATTCCTTTTGAATACAGTATGTCACCGCTGGAGAACATGAGACATGAGGATGCAAGTCTCAAAAGCCAGCAGTGTAAACCAACACAATATCAAATGCCTGTCTTACAGAGAACAAATAGGAATCAAATTAAAATTCTTAGATTCTGAAAGTACACACAGAGCTAAAAGTATATACTGTAGATCACTTTAGTAGAAAAACATAATAAGAAATGGCTGTTTCAGAAAGCCAGATATATACTGTTTGTAATATAAAGTTTATTACATTTGAAAACTTTTAGACTGAATTGTAATATGGTTAGCAAGTAGAAGTGTAATGAACTATTGTTTAATTTGCAGGTCTCATGGTTTTGTGAGATACTGGCTCCACTTTGGAGACAATCTCTTCAGGGACACAGTTGTTTCCTTTTCTGTGGTCAACCTTAAATAGAGCTTTCCTTCTCACAGTAATTCAGCAGACTGGTCAAAGCCTAAATAAAAAATGATTCGAACAGTGATCTTTACTGGGGTAACTCAGCTGCCTGAGGAGAATGACAACCCATTTGTAAGCAACCTCCCTCCCCTTCTATGAATGATGGATGAGCTGGGACGTTGCTTCAAGGATAAAGATAGAGTGGAGGACTGCAAGTGAAAATGAAATCTCTCAGCGAGTGAGCAAGAAGCATGATATTTTTAAATGGGTAGTTGAATGTTAGTGACATTGGGGTATGACCTCCAAAACGTTTGTTTAAAACACCATTTAATCAATCACCAAACGGCGCCTTTTAATTATAACAGCGGTAAGCCACTGTAAACAGTTTGAATGTTGCAGTTTTTAATACGTCTCATGCTACAGTATTTGGACATCCATCCTGAAAGTGCAGGGTTTTAACACTAACTGTGCTCTTCATCATTCACAGACTCACAGGCAGATTGACAAAATAACCCACATTTCAAAATATGTCAGCAAACCATTTTGAGGGCTTACAATTAAACAGAAGCAGCAAACTAAAAAAATAGATTTTTTTTTAATTTAAAACAATTTCTATGTTCTCTTTCATTGTCTTCGCCTGTTGTTGCATGTTGTTCCACCTGATGATCTAAGAAACCTACGTTATCAATGAGAGCTACTGCCTGAGCTTTTGGAAGCACAGTATTGGGAATTATTATGGAACCCGAGGAAAAAATAGATACTGTATGTACTGTACAGAGCTCTCCAAAACTCAAGTTCCATCTTTTAATTTTGCTTTACTGCCAAGCATCTTGTATTAATGAGGATGGGATTAATATGGATCACATGTACGAGATAATGTATATTTAAATAGTGGGTAATTTCATGCATGGGACTGATTCCAAGAATGCATCATTGATTGTGACAAAACAAAAATATACTGTGTTCACACCAGTGCTTTCGAGTGATCATACTGTAAGTATTGGGGCACATTCACTTTAATTAAACGTCAGGGTGTAAACTTTACTCTTTTTGGAGGCAATAACTGCATGGACTCCATGATACACTGAGCTTATCTACACCCTTTGGGCAATCATCTGAGCTGCTTCGTTGTAGGCTCATTGAGCTGTTGAGGCTTGAGTGGGAAGCTGTGTCAATGCGCATTGGGTACATACTGTATGAACTAGTGATGGTTAATTGCATGCTGAAAAGTGAAAAGAAGAACATGACATTCTCCTCTCCTCCACCACCGATGTGCAGCCCCCACCTGGATGATGCGACGGCAGCCGTACTGTGCCAGAACGCTCCCCACCCACCAGCTCTTAGCGAGGAGAAGAGAGTGATAGATGGGGATTATCAGGGGGCCATGACGGGAAAAGTGGAAGAGGGAAATTTGGCTAGGACTCCGGGATCCACCCCCACACTTATCGAGAAATGCCCGGGGTTGAGCTTTTGGGTAGAGACTAGCTACTGTACTTGGGTAGCTAGCTCATGAGGGTGCACACTCGGGGCTTGGCCAGCAGTTGCCTACTTCATACACGCAAAACATGACCACATCTTATTTCACATCAGTTCCTGTTACCTGTAGAGACACAAACACAAACTCTGTAGGTCTATCATTATGTTTCTGATTATTTGTACGTAGCGGTGTGAGAGAGCGCTCTGTCTGTTTGTCTCTTCCGTGTTGCTGTCTGACTTAGGCTACGGTGGCCTCATTGGTCCAACCCCCGATACCCGTTTTCAGCTCGGCTCTGTAGTGTCAACGCTGAGTGGTGCATGCTCACATCTTCCGGTAAAGGAAG